AAGTATTATCTAATTGGGAATTCAGAATGAAGTTGTTTCTCGAGCATCATGGAGTTTTGGAGATGCTGACAAAGGATCCGCCTGACGAGTAATCATCTGAGTATGTGAAGTTTAACAACGATGATGTCAAGGCTCGTAACTTGATAATCAATAGTTTGGCTGATAATATACTCGAGATGGTGAAAGGTAAGGCTACTGCCAAGGAAATATCATTAGAATTAGGTGGAGCATATATGAAGTCTGGCATAGTCAACCAAGTAAGTTTACAAAGAACATTTAGAACATTAACATTAAAATAATATGATAAAAAAAGTTCTTTACACGATTTTCTTGTATGAGCGAACAGTCTTAGAACTAAAGAATTTTGGTGAATCAATCCAAGAATCAGAGATTATTACACAGTTATTATCTGCAATGTCTGATACATATCAAAATGTGACTACAACAATAGACATTTTGTATTGTCAAGAACCCAGTAAAGTGACTCTAGAAGCCATTGAAAGTAGACTCTTGATGGAAGAAGCTAGACAAAATAAAAATATGTATGAATCAAAATATCAAGGTGGAGGGTCAGAGGTGTTTCTAGGATAGAAAGGAAACTTTAAGTCACATTTTAATCCAAGGGGACAAAATTGGAAAAAAAGGAAAAGAATTTTCCAATTAGATGCTATGGTTGTGGTAAAAAGGGGCACAAGAAGGTGATATGTCCAAAGTTAAAAAAATAGTAGGGGGCAATCAACCTTATTTGGCTGAAAGCGACGATAATAGTGAAAGTGATGAAGTTGCATTTATTTCTGAATTTGAATCAGAGACACGAACATTGGCTTGTTATGCCACAAAGAGTGAAGTTAACTTTGTAGTTGACAGCGGTGCTACAAATCATCTTGTTAACTCAACTGTGGGAAAAAATTTGACTAATGTAGAAGAATAATCGAATAAGAATAGCAAAGCAGGATGAAGTTATTATAGCAAAAAGAGAAGGTAATTTGCATGTTCAGGCTGAAAATGATAGAAAAATTATTTTAGAGAATGTTCTTGAGTGTGAAAGTTTAACTCGCAACTTATTCGTCTGTCAAAATTCTAGAAGAAAAGGGTCTGAGGGTGGTGTTTGAAAATAAAAAGGTCTTGATACAAAATCAAAAGAAAGTACTAGTTATTGGAGAATTAAATAAGAATTTATATACTTTAAATTTATTTTTGAGAAACCCAGAAGAAAATACAGCAACTGTTGCTGAAATTGACAATAAAATTATGGCATAGGCGAATGGGAAATTTTGCTAAATATCCATATGAAGGAGTTTTGTGAAATATGCTTAAAAGGTAAGCAAACCAAGGATCCCTATGTAACTCTTACTGAAGAGAGAAAAGCAAAGCGAATTCTCAAAGTTGTATCTTGCGATGTGTGTGGACCAATAACAACCATTACTTATGATGACAAGAGATATTTTGTAACCTTCATGGATCATTACAGTATAATCTTACAGTTTGTTATTTAATGAAGCACAAGAGTGAAGTTTTTGAACATATCAAGAACTTAGCAATGGTTAGTGCAAAATTTAACAAGAAACTGGAACGAATAAGATTTGACAATGGAGGAGAATACGTCTCAAGTGAATTTAGGGACTTTTGTTCAAAGAAAGTTAGAAAAATAGAATACACAGTAGCATATACACCATAAGAAAATGGTGTAGCCGAACAGAACTGTAATGGAACGTGCAAGATGTCTAATATTTAAATCGAAAATGGATAAAAGTTTTTAGGGTAAAGCCTTGAAAACAGCTGTATATCTAATAAATAGAACTACAACAACAGTGCTGAATAATAGAGTTAGTTGTTCCAGGAAATTTGTTATGGTTATAAGCCTTAAAGTATTTGGATGTAGAGCTTATGTTCATGAACCAAAAGTAGAAAGATCCAGTAACTTAGATTAGAAATAAAAACTATTGCTTATCATGGGGCATAGAGACAAAGGATATCATAGATCAGAACATTATGAAAGACAGAATAAAGAATTCCAAGAAATGATAGATTTAGAAATCAATAATGATGAGGAAACACGAAATACAAGAAAAGAAAATTGCCAAGTACAGAATGAAGAGAAAAATGATTCAAAAAATCAAACAAAAATTGACAATAATGTAACACGAAGACGGTCAATACGAGAAAGAAAAACTCCTAAGCACTTAGAAGAATATGACAATATTGAACTGATGGCAGCACTATCAGTAGGTATATCATCAGACGTACCATCGTCACCAAAAGTATCTGGAACAAAAATAATTCATATTAATTTCCTGGACGAAATCAATCGTCATTCATTTCAATGCATTTAATTCATAGTTTCACAAATATTTGACACTAAATTCATATAATAATATAAGAGCTAATGTGATGCTGTCCCAGTTACTTTTGGTGACGATGGCGATGGTACCTGGAAATTGTGATAAAGGTATTGAAGGAGGCGAAGGTTGGCAGAAAGCCATACAAAGACCAATTGGACTCACTTGTACAGAAACAAATAATGTTGAAATTATAGATGAAAAATGGATTTTCACAGAAAAAGAAAGAGATGGAAAAGTGATAAAAAAGGAAAGACTTATAGCAAGAGGTTTTTTGCAATTAGATTTGCAAGAAGAAATATATTCATACCAGTCGCAAGGATGTTAACCATCAGAATTCTCTTATCACTTAGTGTTCAAAAAGACTTAAAAATCTACCAACTTGATTTCAAGTGCGTATTTCTCAATGATGTATTGAAACAACCGATCTACCTACCTGATACATAATATGAGACTTCACATAAATGCTAGTAGGTACCACCTTGAACCTCTACTGCTGTACTCCACATTATAGCCTTATGAATATTGTATAGCTGCTTTTCAGCATCACACAGCCAGGTTTCTGTTAATACAATTAAATGGGGATCTATGTGTTTTGATTTGAGTAGTGCTCTAATTGTTCCCTCTTTATTTTTTAAACTACGTATATTTCTAAATAAAATATTCAAACTTAACGAGAATTTGACCCAATCTATTTCATTAGCTTTATGATTTTTTTGAAATCACGAGCAGCTTCTACATCCCACTATTATCGCTTGTTCTTCTCTTTGTGTATTAATTCTGCGACATTCTTCTATATCACCCACATTTAGTTGCAAGCCCATACCTTTAAACAGGTCTCCTATGACTTCGTTGGTAGATTTATTTTCCTGTACTGGAATACTTGTTACCACAATATTATCTTTTTTTTACTACTAACCTGAGAAATAGACATTATTCAATCTATTTTTCTGAGAAAAAATTGAATTTCTCTCCCTAGGTTAATAATGAAAATAATGAAAAAATACCTAGGTCAATAATGAAAATGACGTCATGACGCAAGGATATTGTCATGTTTCTATTGGTTCAATTTCAATTTCATACGTCAATTTGAAAAAAAAATACAGGTTTCTGTAGGTACATAGGTTAGTTATATAAGCTGTTGATAGAGGGCAGCACTGTCAAGAGGGCGTTCACAAAAAATAATTAGAGCACAGATTTTAAACAAATTTTTTATTTTCTACTAGCAGTAGTAAAAAAAATTCTATATATTCCTCGGTAGAGAAAGTCATTATATACCTCAAGCATTATAAACCTCGGCGCTGCGCGCCTTGGTTTATAAAAGCTTTCGGTATATAATGACCAACTTCTCTACCTAGGTATATAATATACTATTAATTTTCATCTTGCTTCATTATATCTACTTTATAATCAAGTGCTTGTAATCTTTCCCTCATTTGCACATTATTCTGTTATATTGGCGTAGCTTCTTCTATTACCTTTCTCATACAACTTACATTGATTTTCACATTTCCTCAACATATATACGATATGCTTTCCTTCACTTCTTTAGTTCCCAAGTCCATTTTTGCTGTAATCTTTTCTTCAAACGATTTTAACTCTTTTTGAAACCATGATTTAATTTCAGTTAGCATTATTTGTTCATCCATATTATTCCCTGATATTGACCAATCACTTTGTCTCGGGTTTTATTTTCCGTCCTGCTATTCATGTGTCCTAGAATAATTATCTCTTGGTATCTCCTATGTTTGTTATGTAGTTGTTCAAAAAATTCGTTTTTCTTACAAGTGTATCGTCGTTAACTGCATAATATTCCCAATATCGTGATTTTATGTGCATTTAATGTCAAGTTTATCGTTATGATTCTCTCACTCTTAGGATTCTATGAAATTATGCACTTTCCTAGTTTTTTTGAGATGAGACCTTGTTGGGCACGTTTATCTTTAGGAACACCGCTATAGAAGTGGTCAAAGTGTCCCAGGTTCTCAGAACTTTTACCTTTCTTTTTTGTCTCCGTTAAAACGGACATGTCTGATTTCTGGAGTTTGTAGACAACTTGACCGATATTAAAAATATATCTATTATAAGTTTTCCCTAATTTCTAATATAAATCTCATATAAACACTAACATTTAAAAAATAGTGCAATATTTTCTGAAAAGCAGGACAACTTCACCTCGTGGTAATCAGAATTCAATGCTACTGGAACTTTCTTTTGACATTATTTTTAGCTACACTACATATGAACTGGGCCCATAACCTCTTGGAATTGTTTTAATAAAGAAAAACACTAATCGGATGATTAATAATTATTAAAAAAAACACATAAATAGTGTCTCTCAAAATGGTAAATAAAGCTATTCTATCTGAAATCCGTCTCTGGCTCTATACCCCATCAACCACGCTCGAAAGCCAACATCCCTCGCCGTTTATTTACCTACAAACGAACCGAAAAAGGGAAAAAAAGTCTCGCCTTGCACGCGGTCACATTTTTCGAGATGGCAATTTCATCCAATAATATCGGGGCCCCCTTATTGTCTTTTCAGGGAAAATCGTTCCGCTAAATCCGGCAACGGTGTCTTCGCTACACTCGTATGGGATTGCGTAGTAGACATTGTAAAACGTAAAAAGGAAACACGAAATCCATCCTTTCAGTCACTAGTCGGCATTTACGTTTATTACGCGCGCGTGCGGTAAAGTTGATATTTTGTTGAATTGAAACGATGTTTACTTCGCAATATTATTTTCGGATTGGTGTTTTGATTTTAATGTAACAATTATTTTACGTGGCACAATTTTTTTCAAGTAAAAATGCTAAGATTACTACTTGTTAGTGTTAGGCGTTTGTCCTTAAGCTTAAGCTTAAGAACCCTATAGTTTATAAAACGTGTTTTGGTGTTGTATAGTGTGCGTCTCAAACTTTAAAGGGATTAATTAATATTACTTTATTTTTGGATTAATTATTATAAACAAATATTTTTATGATAAAATTTTTGGTAAGTAAACATATGCGTATTTTTAGTGTAGGTATATTCACATGACCAGCAACTTTTTATAAACATATAGATAATTAATTAGAAATTTTGTTTGATTTTAAAAATTGATTATATTGAAGAATTTATGAAGGGTTGTTGTTGACGCAGTTATAGTTTTTAATTAATTACAAATTATTGGCTCATATGAATAAAACAGAAGCAAATGCTTTTGCTTAAGTTTTTTGAGATAAACATATTCACCTTTAATGCAGCAAAAAGAGACGGAGGTAGAGTGAAAGCATTTGCTACACTTTATCAATACGACTGATTGTCTGTAATTTGGCATGGCAAGAGGGTTTTTAATTCTAAAGTCAGTTTCAGAGGTTGTTTATTAGGTACCTATATAGGTATATACTTTCCTTGGAACGATAAAATTAATTAAACGGTTATTATTGAATAGGTACTAAAATTCATTTTACGATCGAGTTATTGAATTTTATTGGTAATTGTGAAATTTAATTACAGTTTTGCCACATCCTAATTATGTTATTTTTATTATCCACGGGTTCAGGTTTCGAAATGAAAGTTATAAACTCGTGGATTTATTGGGAATTGTTTTTTCGGAGCGTTTAATTATTATTGGCGATAGGGTTCTTGATGAAGTGATAAAAAAATACAATTTAATAAAATACAAAACTTTTAAACAACTATAACAGCAATTGTACTTATGTTTTGTAAATTATGTAATTCAAAAATGTTTTCGATAAAAAAACTACTTTGAGGAATGTTTATTTAGCGTTTACAGCTATCCTATGGATATGAAAATTCAATAACATATAGGTATCTCATTGATATGTCACAAACATTACAAAACAGTTTTATCAATATTGAAGCTTCATCCTCTGCTCCATAAAATACACCATACACATCTGAATATGTACTTATATACTACCTATTTTTTAATGATAACCATCAGATATAAAAGTGTTTTAAATTTCTTTTATTATGTGCTTGAATGGCAACTTTATTAGGGTCTTATCTTATTTTTTTTGGGAACTAGAGCGAAATAAGGGCGAGGGAGAAAAGTGCTCTGTTGAAAGAAGGGGGAAATTCTCTATTGCAGGCTCTTGATTTTGGCTTCCCAAAACGGAATAATAATTTTTCGATTTTGTATTGGTTTCTATTGGGTGATTCAAAATAAACAAGTATTTACGTGAATTCTAAAGATTTCTTGTTTAAATAGTTTAGAAAAAGTCTATAGTCATATAATATAAATTGAATTTTAAACTCTAGTTTATAGTACATAGACATACAACGCCAAGGTAAGGAAAGAAACAACCAGGTGATACATGCTACATACATAGAGAACTTTGGCCAGGGTAAATTTCATAAACAACGAAAAACTCTACTGCATGAACACCTTCTTCCAAAAACAAACTCAAAGGAAGTGGACGTTGGGAAGCCCAGGCGGACTGGTGGAAAATGAAATAGACTTCATCCTCGCTAACAGAAACACTATCTACAAAGATGTCACAGTGCTAAACAGGTTTGACATAGGAAGCGACCATAGACTAGTGCGTGCCAAGATACAAATAAACACCAACATAGAAAGGAGAAGACTAGTCGCCAGACATACATTCCCAACAAGAGATGCCCTGCAACTCAATCAGGAAACCTTTCAAAAAGAACTGGAGAAGACGCTACGACCACCGGCACTCCAGGATAAGCACATAGATGAAATCCCCAATAAAGTATCACATGGCATAACTACAGCCACAAAGAAAACATGCAGTTGGATAAGACAGAGATCAGATACCAAATTAAAACCAGAGACGATAGAACTAATAAGAAAAAGAAGAAAAACTGACAGAGACTCCCTAGAATATAATACCCTAAATAAGACAACGTAAAAAGGAATAAGAAAAGATCTAAAAGAAAACAAAATCCTGGAAACTATAGAGAAAATAAAGGCATGAGAGTTTTAAGATCGAACCAAGAGAGCGAAAAACAGAAAATTGTGAAAATAAAAAATAATCAAGGAATCCTAATCACAGACAAACAGGAAATTAGAAGGGGTATACAAATATTCTAAGAACAGCTCTACGAAACAATTATACTGAGCCCAAAGGAACCACCTAAACACATTACAAACATAGGGTCAGAAGACATGCCGGAAATATCACCATCAGAAATTAAATACGCACTCCAATAGATGAAAAACGGCAAGAGTCCGGGAGAAGATCGAATAACACTAACAGAAACAATAGAAATGCTGTTGAAACAAATGTCTGATAGAGGGAAAAGTCCCAGAACCATGGAAAAATGCTGAAGTCGTGATGATATACAAAAAAGGGGATCGTTCAAATATAGAAAACTATAGACCAATAAGCCTGCTATCACACCTATATAAACTTTTCACTAGAATTATCAACAATCGACTGACTGCGAAGCTAGACTCCTACCAACCGGTAGAACAAGCAGGATTCCGAAGAAGCTTTAGCACTACAGACCATCTGCAAACAATTAAAGCAGTCATCGATAAAACAACGGAAGATAACATACCCCTACATCAGGCGTTTGTGGACTACCAGAAAGCCTTTGACAGCGAAACCTGGGGGCGGATTACGAACTCTCGATTCGAACCAAAACCGCCATGGATTTTGAACGCACTCCATGCAAATGCATCAGAATGCGTTCGAAATCCATGGCGGTTTCGGTTCGAATCGAGAGTTCGTAATCCGCCCCCTGGTCTTTTCTAGCGGCAATGGATCACGCAAGAATCGATTCGAGATACTCTACCCTTATTAAGAATATCTATGATAAGGCAACCTTTCTCGTAAAAATAGACGACGATCTCAAAACAGACAAAATATCACTTGGCAATGGAGTACGATAGGGGGATTACATTTCTCCCAAGCTATTCACCCCAGCACTGGGGAATGTTTTTAAGAAGCTGGAATAGAAAAAACAAGGGCCTAAACATCGATTGAGTATACCTCAATCACCTCAGATTTGTAGATGATATAGTCTTGATGAACACCAACATTCAAGAACTGAACAACATGCTAAATGAGCTAAACGAACAATCCAAGAAAATAGGTCTAAAAATGAACCTAAGCAAGACCAAACTAATGAGCAAAAATGAATGTTACATCACCATAGACAACGTTACCATAGAAAGTGTAGAACACTACATATACTTTGGACATAAAATCAAGCTGGGCAAAGAAAATCAAACGGCGGAAATCAAACTATGGCAATAACCCGGAGAGAGAGAAAATGCTGGGAATCACCTTAAGGGAAAAAATACGAAATGAACAGATACATGATAGAACCAAAGTGACGGATATTGTGAAAAGGGTAGCAATCCAGAAGTGGCAATGGAATGGACATGTGGCGAGACAGGACCCAGAAAAGAGCACTCTAGAGACCAAGAGGAACAACAACAAATGTGGGATGACCGAAAAAAAGATGGATAGACGATGTCAGATCGGTGGCAGGGGGACAATGTATGAGATTAGCGAGAGATCGCGAGACATGGAAAAATCTAGAAGTGACTATATCCGACAATGGATGATGGACATGGTCTGACGAAGAAGAAGAAGAAGTGCATAGTAATAATTATATGACATAATTTGACAGTTTTATTTATTCAACACCTTTCAAATCTCGAATGTTACATATTAAATGTAAGAAAACGCTTGACTTTCGACAACAAAATGGTTTATTTTAAATTTACAAAAATATCCAGGCGACGATGCGTTTAACAAGCTAAACAAAAACCGAGTGTCCCTGTCGAAATCCCTTAAACTACGGATTACCTGGCCTAAAACTTAATTGTTTAACAAGGACCCTTTCAACTTTGCCGAAGCAACTATGGGTCCGGTCATAAACATTGAATTATACAACCTAAATAATAAAACTAAAAGTTCAACAATTGCTTTGAACAAATCCTCCTGGCGCCGCTGGTCACGTCTCTATTCTTGATGCTCGCATATATGTATTCAATGGTAGATACCAATAATGAAAAAATATACAGAATGGTCCATTTGGAAAACTAATTACGGTCAAAGAAATCAGGAAAATCTGGCAACCTCGCAGATATGATTACCTAATTTTGTTAGAATCTCACCTGTGATTGGGGCCAGAGTTTTCTTCCAGTTTGTATAATGCACATAGTTTGTAAGTAAGTCAGTTTCAAATTGTGAAAACATAATCTATTGACTGTCAAAATCTGATGAAATCATCTGTCTCCAAAAATTCTCTATTTCTCAATTTTTTGTCTAATCCTGGCTGTTGAGTTTTCTTCTAAATTTTGCTAAATAGCGAAAATTCAATATGTACTTAGCTTGGAATAGAAAAAAAAAACTTTACGTCTACTTGTCTATCAATTTCTCTCGAACTTCTTCCCTATATTTCTAAATTTAATTGAACAGAAAACGTACTTTAGGTATAAAAATTGAAAAACGGCTAAGGGTTTCTGAATTATCACGCGCAGTAACTGAAAACTTTCTAGTCTCTCTCCCCGTACTGCCCTTAGTCTATCTTAGTTCCTGATTCCTCTTTGGTCCAAACTTCGCATATATCGTCGTGTCCGACGTTCTCCCAAGTATGTATGGAAATTCGACGTTGCCACTGTATTTGTATAAGTTTTTTGACTAAACGAAAATCCTGCAATTCTTAACCTTTTATCTAAATTTAAATCAGAATAAACTCATTAAAGAAAATCAAATCAAAAATAAATACTAATCTTAACGTAGCTCAATCTAACTTAGAATACTGTTAGAGAACGTCAGCATCAGTCAAACTAAAAGAACTTAGCTGATACAGATTTATTACAACCACATATTATTTACAACCGCTAGTTTGATAATACCCGAGGAAGTCTTAACTGAGACAACGCGCACTGTACTAAATTTCGCACACGCGTCCCAAACGCCACTTAAAGGAGGGTATACCGTTATCATGGATCTTCGAGTTTGTGTTTTTCACTTTTGTCTTTGTTGTAGTTCGTGTACATA